TCCAGAACTATATTAAGCATTTCCTCAGATTAATTCTCATACTTACAGACAGGGAAACAGTCTTGCAGTCACATAGCTAATAAGTGGCAGTGCCGGAATAAGGGAATAAGGGAGAAGTAAACCAACCTAAACTTAAATCCATAGGCCTCCAAGAATCCCAGCGCCCAAACCAGAATCGTCTAGTAACAACGCAACTGGAAGAATTCTTCCTACTGTGCCCTCCTCCCACCATTTTTATTCCACATAATCAAGCTGGCCACAGGCTTTTCCCAAAATCAGCCATGTCCACACCTAAACATTTTCCTCTCCTTTGTTAATTCCCTGTGTTCTATTCTAAAGCCACCATAGCAGCAGTTTCCCCAAATTACATTTTTCTTTTTTGCTTTTTTTTTTTTGAAACAGAGTCTTGCTCTGTTGCCCACACTGGAGTACAGTGGCGTGATCTCAGCTCACTGCAGCCTCTGCCTCCTGGGTTCAAGCAATTCTCCTGCCTCAGCCTTCCAAGTAGCTGGGATTACAGGCATGTGCCACCACACTTAGCTAATTTTCTGTATTTTTAGTAGAGACGGGTTTCACCATGTTGGCCAGGCTGATCTCAAATTCCTGACCTCAAGTAATCTGCCTGCCTCAGCCTCCCAAAGTACTGGGAGTACAGGCCTGGCCCCAAATTACATTTTTCAACATGTTCCAGGAGATAAATTTCCAAGTCTCAATAATAGAAAACACCATATAATTGACACCTTTTTCCTAAAGACATACAATGCACACTTCAAAAAAACTCTAAGAAAAGAACTTTACAGAATTTTAAAAAGGTGTTTTGGGGCCTAGTGTGGTGGCTTGCACCTCTAGTCCCAGCTATTCAGGAGGCTGAGGCAGGAGGATCACTTAAGCTCAGGAGTTCAAGGCCAGCCTGGGCAATACAGCCAAGACGGCTCTCTAAAAAAAAAACTAAGCAAGAAGGTGGGGTGCAGTGGCTCACTCCTGTAATCCCAGCACTTTGGGAGGCCGAGGCGGGTGGATCACCTGAGGTCAGAAATTTGAGACCAACATGGTAAAACCATGTGTCTACTAAAAATACAAAAATTAGCTGGGTATAATGGTGCACACCTGTAATCCCAGCTACCTGGGAGGCTGAGGCACAAGAATCACTTGAACCCAGGAGACAGAGGCTACAGTGAGCCGAGATCGTACCACTGCACTCCAGCCTGGGCAACAAGAGCAAAACTCCCTCTGGAAAAAAAAAAAATCAAGAAGTAAAGAAAAAACATGTTTAGACCTAGTTCAGCCCAGGGTTTCCCAAGCTTCTCTGACACACACACCTTTTCTCAGGTACACCTTCAGGGGCACCAGCATTCTACAAACAACTTGGGAAAGGTGCAATTAAATCTAAAAAGGAGAGCTGAGTGTGGTGGTGCACACCTATAGTCCTACCTACTCAGTAGGCTGAGGGAAGGACTGCTTGAGCCAAGGAGTTCAAGGCAGTAGTGAGCTATAATCACGCCACAGCGTTCCAGCCTGGGCAAGAGTGAGACACTGTAAAAAGGACTCCATAAAAAAGAACAATGAAAACAAAGCCTCCTGAGTTAACGTTGTTACTGAAAACCCTTCCACCAGGGAAAAATGTAGACATCATGAGTTCAATGCACACGTGTCAAACCCTCTGGGGGCTCTTGCTCAAGGGGCCAATTATATGGCTTGATATCATCAATCTTTCAGTCTTCCAATTTCATTATGTTGATGCAAGTCAATGTCAAGTCAATGTCTTGTGTACATACACACATACATATAATGGAAAAATACAGCCTCTGGGTTTTTACTCAGTGGCAACAGCACAAGAAATACAAGGATCTTAGAGCAATAAAATGGAATACTCCGATAATATTGGTCCACACACAAAAGACACTCAGATTCAATGACCACTGAACCTATGTGACAGCTTGAGAACTTTAGTAAGAGAATCACATGCATTTGTAGATGATTACCAAAGATGCTGTCCTTTCTAACTCACAATATTTCTAAGAGTGGATACTAATATTATCTCTTTTATTATTATTATTTATTTTTTAGACAGAGTCTTGCTTTGTTGCCCAGGCTGGAGTGCAGTGGCGCAATCTTGGCTCACTGCAACCTCCGCCTTCCAGGTTCAAGCAATTCTCCCTGCCTCAGCCTCCCGAGTAGCTGGGATTACAGGCGTGCACCACCATGCCTGCCTAATTTGTTGTATTTTTAGCAGAGACTGGGTTTCAGTATGTTGGCCAGGCTGGTCTCGAACTCCTGATCTCATGATCTGCCTGCCTTGGCCTCCCAAAGTGCTGGGATTACAGTACAGGTGTGAGCCCCAACGCCCAACCACATTATCTCTTTTTTTAAAATGAGGAAACAGAAAATTAAGTGATTTGCTCACAACTAAAAAACAAATTCAGGGCTGGGCGTGGTGGCTCATGCCTGTCATCCTAGCACTTTGTGAAGTTGAGGTAGGTGGATTGTTGAGACTAGGAGTTCACCCAGAACAGTATAGTGAGACCCCCGTCTCTACAAAAAACAACTTTTTGGTTTTTTTTTTTTTTTTTTTTGAGATGGAGTCTCACTCTGTCACCCAGGCTGGAGTACAGTGGCGCGATTTTGGCTCGCTGCAAGCTCCGCCTCCCGGGTTCACACTATTCTCTTGCCTCAGACCCCCAAGTAGCTGGAACTACAGGCACCACCACCACGCCCAGCTAATTTTTTTGTATTTTTAGTAGAGACGGGGTTTCACAGTGTTAATCATGATAGTCTCCATCTCCTGGACCTCGTGATCCGCCCACCTCGGCCTCCCAAAACATTTTTTTAATTAATCAGGCGTGATGACACACACCTGTGGTCCCAGCTACTTGGAAAGCAGAGGTGAGAGGATTGCTTGAGCCCTAGCGTTTGAAGGTGCAGCGAGCTGTGATTGCACCACTGCACCAGAGTGAGATTTTGTCTTTCAAAAAAAAAAAAAAAAAAAAAAGGAAAGAAAAATTCATGGCACAGTGAGAAATAGAAAAAAAAAAAGCTACCATTTCCAGTCAGTCTTCAGGGAAACCTTCAATAACCTTCACATGAGCATTTTACAAGTCTATTTCTTATTTTATAAACATAATTGCATATTTAATTGTGCGTACTTGAATAATTGAAAACTGAACAGCAAATCAATGTTTATGGTTCATTTTCTCCAACAATCAACAATATTAAACTGTATGAGAAGTAATATTTATTGCAACAGGTTATGAGGTGGAAACAAATAATTCGTCTTACAATTTGCTAGAAGCATGACAGAGCTTACTAACATTTTGAAGAAAAAACAGCAAAGAAAGACGTCATCAAACAAGATGGTATTTTGACAAAGGCACAGTGCTCCACAACTGCTTCATACTCTGTGCACAAGAAAGCCTCTCAGAGAGGGGAGAGGAGTGATGCCAAACGGGCTCGGATTTGAGCTGTGGACACTACCACTGCTATTATTCATACAACCAAGGCTCTACAACACCCCTCTGGAGAAAAAGTGCAACACAAAATCTGTGTAACAAAGGAAATCAAAAGTAGCAATAAGGGCCCAGAGGAATACAAACAGTGCAAATACAGTACTGCAAACTCAGTAAAAGGAGTTTTTAAATTGGAGTATGAACTTTCAAGTTGAAGATATATTTCGCAGGAACATTCACCCAAAGCTTGAGAGCTAGAGTGAAGAGAGACTTGCAGTGGATGAAACGCCTAATTTTTCATTAGGTGATAATTCCCTTTGGGGAGAAGTGCTTTATCTTTAATTATTCCACTTTTTGTTAAATGGTTCATGCTTTTAAACTGCGATTGTCTCAAACTTACTTGCTATTGAATTGTGTAACATCAGAAAACGGCAGGATGCCAAAAGATAATCCCAGTGGATAATTTAAGCTGCTTTTATGAGAAGCATGGTGCTGAGCTGCCTTACACAGTCTTTTTACAGTAACCATAAAAAACTGAGTTTATTTGACCAGGTATTATCCCTTCTCACATAAAGTCATATTAGAGGAGTTCTTTTTAAAAGAAGCTTTCAAACTAGTCCTTTGGGCATTTAAAAAATCATTATATAAAAGTACACTTCTTCAATACATAAGAACAAACATTTTTCCTTTACAAAAAAACCTCATTTTTAGGCCAAAATAAATTACAACTTGCTGAAAACCTTTTATGGCTCAGTGCTCATTCCAGATATATGAAGCGATGTATATTTTATTTTTATTTTTATTTGAGACAGAGTCTCGCTCTGTGGCCCAGGCTGGAGTGCAGTGGTGCGATCTCAGCTCACTGCAAACTCCGCCTCTTAGGTTCATGCCATTCTACTGCCTCAGCCTCCCAAGTAGCTGGGACTACAGGTGCTCGCCACTATGCCCAGCTAATTTTTTGTATTTTTAGTAGAGATGGGGTTTCACTGTGTTAGTCAGGATGGTCTTGATCTCCTGACCTGGTGATCCGCCTGCCTCGGCCTCCCAAAGTGCTGGGATTACAGGGGTGAGCAACCACGCCTGGCCAAAGCTGTATTTTTAGTACATCTTCAGAAATCAGAGATACTGAGAGAGAGTAGTTTGTTTTTTTTTTTTTTTTTTGAGACGGAGTTTCACTTTGTGCCCTAGGCTAGAGTGCAGTGGCACAAACTCAGCTCACTGCAACCTCCGTCCCCTGGATTCAAGCGTCCCCTGGATTCAAGCGATTCTCCTGCCTCAGCCTCCTGGGTAGCTGGGATTACAGGCACACACCACCATACCTGGCTAATTTTTGTATTTTTGGTAGATGGAGTTTCGCCATGTTGGCCAGGCTGGTCTCAAACTCCTGACCTCAAGCAATCAGCCTGCCTCGGCCTCCCAATGTTCTGGGATTACAGGCATGAGCCACCGTGCCCAGCCAGAGAGAATGGTTACTTCTAAAATGACATGATGATATAACCCTGGCTCAGGGAACAGATCAAGTTCTAAATCTCAGGAATAAAAAACTGATACTCATTATCCAATTCATATAGTCTTGTATTATATACATATTAGTATTAACAGTCTACGCAATGAAAAATAAAGACGTTTCATAAAACTATTTCAAAACTCGGAACATAAAAATTTAAAGAAACAAAACATTTAGTGTACAATCTACTCCATTTGGCAATGTGTACAGAGAGATAAAAAACTTATCTACAAACAGAATATAACAAAAGGAAAATGTGACTTAAGAAGTGATCTCAGGTCCATAGCTCTTCAGTTCTTCCAAATTTGTAGATCAGAGTACTAGAAAGATAGGAAAACAAATCATGAGGAAAAAACAGATGGAACAAGCAACACAAAATTCATTTTCTCAATATGCTTTGACAGGTACTTCACTGATTCCTATCAATTTAAAAAATTAAATTAGACATCATGGCAGTGTTGGTCTTAATTTGCTTATTTGGTAAAGCAGTCTGTTAACTACGATGGCTGAGCATAACTGTATTCTTTCTTAAAGCCTGGAAAGTTATTAATAGGCAACTTGTAAGGAAAAGAGACATTTCTCTATGACTCAGAAACAAAAAAAAAATGAATCAATACATCAAAAAAAATAAAAGAGAGAAACAGACCATTCTCATAGTGACAGGCATTAGGGCCATTTTATGTCTCCAGGAGCCTACCATATCTAAACTACAGTAACTGAAGCACCCTACAACAGACAATACTGCAATTCTTCATTCCTTCAACAAATAATTATTGTGCACTGAAAACTGGCTATGTACCAAGCACCTAAGTGCTGGGATGAGACTTTGAGTCCAGACAAACTTGCTCCCTAATGGAGCTAAGGGTCTAATAAGGAGACAATCAAATAAATATAAAATTCCAACTATAAAAAAAACGCTATAAATGAGAGGTGCAGAGTGTCCTAAGAATGAAACATAAGGATCAGACCTAGTTAGAGAGGTCAGGAAAGGTTTTCCTGAGGAGTGGTGACTGAACTGAGATCCCAAAGAAGAGGGGGAATTATCTCAGCAAAGTGAGAGAGGGGATAAGGAGGTGGGAACAGAGAGATGGGACACTCCAGGGCCACGCATTGAGCTGTGGGCGTACTAAATGTTTTGGATTTGAAATGTCAGCAACCCAGGAAGGGATGTGAAGTAGGAATCTGGATATATGGTTTAGGCCTGGAAAGGGACATCTGTGACTCACTGGCATATAAGCAATAACTGGAGTCCTAAGTATACATGAGTTCACCCAGAGACAGAAAAATAACAAGGAGTTTCTTAAGGCCAAGAACAGAGCTTTAAGAGACTTCAAAAGGTAGTAGGCAGGGAGTGGAGGATCAGCTTGCAAGGGAAACAGAGGAGTGACCAGAGATGTAAATAAAAGAGGCTGTACCCCAGAGCTTAGAACAGGTCCAGCACAGAGGAAGCACACAGGCTGCCTGATAACTTGCCAGCCTCTGGGCAGAGCACATAGTTGACACGGCTGTCAACTATGTCCACCTGAGCATACAAGGTTTCTGTTCATCCAACAGTCATTTAAGTGGATTCATCTACCACCACAAAGCGTTGAATCTGACCTTAAACTTAATCTATAAAGATTGCCTCAAATGTCTTCATAATAACTTATCATATCACCAGAAGGCTGTCAGTCACATGCCAAAGACGTGACTGACAGCACATAAGACAGCAGAAACTGCCAAACATCTTTCAAAACCAGAATGTCAAGGCCATAAGGAGAAATCCAGGTAGAGCAGGGTGGTCTGAGAGTTGGGGGAGACCACATGGCTACGGTTTGCCACGCAGCATACAGACAGCCACACAGAGGGAACGCAGGAGATCTGCAGGGGGTGCTCCTTGAGTCTGTGGCTGAGTATTGATCAGTCTATACATAAGAGGAAACTACCCAAGTGAAGGAAAGAACCACTGGAAAGAACACATCCCAGAGCTACCACAAGGCTGGAAGAGAGTTCACATTCTCACAAGTCGTGTAGAGAAACCTTGGAATACATGAAGCATCAGACCGTGGAAACACTCAAAGTACTGGCATGACTGCCTTAATAAGCAGACAAATCAGTCCTGGGCTATAGCTGCTCTGGTCCTGCCTATAACAAAGCTTAAAAGACATAAAAGGACCAAACTGTTTCTGAGTCACCTAACTGCATCCCAAAACAAAGCTCAAAAACATTTAAAGGACTAACAAAGATCCAGTCCCAACAAATTGTATGCAAAGCACCAAATAAGGGAAAATAGGTCCAAAATGAAGAGCAAACAGAAGCAGAAAAAAATCAATAGAAGCAGATGCAGAAATGACACAGACAATTGGACAAGGACCCTGAGATAGCTATAAATATACTCTGTGTGTTCAAGAAGGTGGAAGAGGGCATGAGCATGTTAAAGAAAGACATCAGAAATATTAGACATCAGAAATATTTCTAGGTGGAAGAGGGCATGAGCATGTTAAAGAAAGACATCAGAAATATTTCTAAAGACCCAATCAAGCTTCTAGAGACAGAAAATACAACGTCTGAGATGAAAAAATCACTGGATGGCATAGATTAGACACTGCAGAAGTAGAGAGTAATTTTTTTTTTTTTTTTTTTTGAGATGAAGTCTCATTCTCGTTCTGTTGCTCAGCAATGGTGCGATCTTAGCTCACTGCAACCTCAGCCTCCTGGGTTCAAGTGATTCTCTGGCCTCAGCCTTCCGAGTAGCTGTTACAAGCATGCACCACCATGCCCAGCTAACATCTGTATTTTTAGTAGAGATGAGGTTTCACCATGTTGGCCAGGCTGGTCTCGAACTCCTGACCTCAAGTGATCCACCCGTCTTGGCCTCCCAAAGTGCTGGGATTACAGGCGTGAGCCACCATGCCCAGCAGAGATTAATTTTAAAATGTAACAATAGAAACTATCCAAACTAAAACACAAAGAGGAAAAAAAAATCTGACCATTAGCGAGCTATGAGACAACTTTAAGCAGTCTGTTATAACATGCAACTGAAATCCCAGAAGAAGGGTGGAGTGGATACAAAAAATGCTTGAAGAAATAATGGCTGAAAAGAATCTAGATTTGTTGATGAACTATAAACCCACAGATCCAAGAAACTCAATATATACCAAGTGAAAGGAATATGAAGAAAACTAGACCACAGTACATCATAATCAAATTACTTAAAACCAGTGACAAAAACAAAGTTTTTCAAGGCTTAGAATTTACTTAATGATTTATGGGGGGTGGGGACAGAGGCAGATAAAATTTTATAAATAAATACCTAAATATCCTATGTTGACATTAAAAGACATTCATTCTAGGCCGGGCATGGTGGTTCACACCTGTAATCCTACCACGTTGGGAGGCTGAGGCCGGCAGATCACTTGAGGTCAGAAGTTCGAGACTAGCCTGGTCAACATGGCAAAGCCCCATCTCTACTAAAAATACAAAAATTAGCTGGGTGTGGCAGTGCGTGCCTGTAATCCCAGCTACTTGAGAGGCTGAGGCACGAGAATTGCTTGAACTTGGGAGGCAGAGATTACGCTAAGCTGAGATTGCAACACTGCACACCAGCCTGGGCAACAGAGCGAGAATCCAGCCCCCCCGCCCCAAAAAAAAGACATTCATTCTAAAAATCATAGAATATGGACTTCATTTGGGGGATATTTTTAGAAGACTGCTCCTAAAAAATACTTTTAATATTGGTTTATTTTTCCACTTAAGTTTTCTTAAAAAGGCATTCAGAAAACACAATTTCCCAACAGGTTTTGTATATAACATGCATACCATGTATTAATTATTATTATTATTTTTGATACAGCTCTGTCACCCAGGCTGAAATGCAGTGGCACTATCTTGACTCACTCCAACCCCCGCCTCCCGAGTTCAAGTGATTCTCCTGCCTCAGCCTTCCGAGTAGCTGGGATTACAGGCATGCACCACCATGCCCGGCTAATTTTTGTATTTTTATTAGAGATGGGGTTTCACCGTGTTGGCCAGGCTGGTCTCAAATCCCTGACCTCAGGTGATCCACCTGCCTCAGCCTCCCAAAGTGCTGGGATTACAGGCATGAGCCACCACGCCTGGCCACTATGTATTAATTCTGGTTTTTCCTTTTTTCTTAATAAAGGTACTTTACCTGTTGTTGTCGTTAATATATTTTTTTTCAAAAGGCTAGTTAAGAGAAACAACAGGTCTGATATGTTTTTTAACAAAACACAGGCTATGGAAGCAGCAGTCTGGATTCAAATCCCAGCTTCTCAATTACTAGCTAGGCATCCTAAAGCAAGCTCTAAACTTTATTTCCTCGTCTATAAAATGAGAATAACGCTGGGTGCAGTGGCTCTCACCTATAATCCCAGCACTTTGGGAGGCCAACGCAGGCAAATCGTCTGAGCTCAGGAGTTCGAGGCCACCCTGGGCAATATGGTGAAACCCCATCTCTACTAAAATACAAAAAATTAGCTGGGCGTGGTGGTGTGCACCTGTAGTCCCAGCTACTCAGGAGGCCGAGGCACGGGAATCATTCGCTTGAGCCCTGAGGCAGAGGTTGCAGTGAGCCGAGATTGTTCCACTGCACTCTAGCTTGGGCTACGGGGTGAGACTCTATCTCAAAAATAAATAAATGAATGAAAATAAAAATAAATAAAATGGGAATAACACCTGACATATATTTAAAATAATTAAATGGGAATTTATTTATTCATTTATTTATTTTATTTTATTTTTGAGACAGGGTCCCACTCTATTGCCCAGGCTGGAGCACAGTGGTGCAATCTTGCCTCACTGCAGCCTCAACCTCCTGGGCTCAAGCAGTTCTCCCACCTCAGCCTCTTGAGTAACTGGCACTGTATACCATCACAACCAGATAATTTTCATATTTTTTTGTAGAGACAGGGTTTTGCCATGTTGCCCAGGCTGGTCTTAAACTCCTAGGCTCAAGCAATCCACCCACCTCAGCCTCCCAAAGTGCTGGGATTACAGGCATGAGCCACTGCACTTGGTCTAAATGGGAATTTAAAAGGTAAAATATATAAAGGATCCAGCTAAAGTCTTGATACACAGCAAGACCCCTATTTAAAAGGCCTGTCTGCTCTTATGTAACAGTGGAATTCTCACCCTTTAAAAGAAGTTCTATCATTGTAACCAGTCCATGGGATTTATATGTGTTTCATGTATATGCTGCCTTAATTAAGCTGACATTTCTGTAAATGTTACAGGTGTAGTTAAAAAATTAGGCAACTTACCTAAAAAATATAAGTGCATTTTGAAAAAACACAGCTAGACCCGGATAAACATCAGTATCTACATACATAAAGTAAAACAGATTAGAAGGTTATATAGGCAAACGTCACTAATAAAGTATCAATACCATTCATAATGATACATTTTTTATATTACAACATAACACTATTATTCATTAACTCTAAGACATCTATAATGACACTGAAAGAAGAAAATGCCAATTTAATTCCCCCAAAGCAAAGGACTGCTCTTACTCTGGATAAAAGTCAATGAACTTAATCAAGTTTTCTTTTAGTCTAAAGTAATTGCTGGTTCTAGCTACATCAAAACTGCTGAGGAAGCGTAACTTGTTCCTTTGCCTCCTATGGCCAACAATGAAATACAAAATCATAAAAATATACAAATTAAATTCTTGACTTTTAAACAGTCTGTTAATTTATTTTCTTTCATGAATTCAAGAAGTTTTTTGTGTTTGTTTTTAAAGAAATGGGGCCTCACTACATTGCCCAGACTGGAGCGCAGCAGCTACTGACAGGCACTATCATAGCAAACTACAGTCCAAACTCCTGGGCTCAAGTGATCCTCCTGTCTCAGCCTCCCATGTGGCTGGGACTACAGGCACACACCACAGTGCCTGGCTCTCAATCCAGGAGTTTTATTATGCAAACATGTCAGATATAAATAACACAGTTATAATTTATCATTATTCTCTCTCACTGAATCTATCCTGGAGGAAATGGTTACTATCTTTATAGGAAGAGAAAAGAAACAAAATGGAAACTATTTAAATTTTTGTAGATGATTAACTTTTGTAAAACTATAAATGTTGATTAAAAATTACTGGAGAGGATGAAGAAACTGGTTCAATTCTGAGCTCTTGATATCATAGCAAACAAAGAACACCATGGTTAAGAGCTCCAAATTTGAGCCAGACCCAGGTTTGAATCCTATCTACACCAATGACTAAATGTATGACCTTGGACAAATTATTTAACCTCAGTATATCTTCATTTCCTCACCTGTAAAACAGGCATTGTAATAGCACCTACTCCAGAGTGTAAGAATTAGATGAGTGACTCTATATAGTGTTAGAACAATATCTAGCCTATAAAGTAATATATAAAAGTTGGCTATCATTATGAATATTAATAGTTCAAGCAAATCTGCACAATAAAAGACTGGAAACATGCCCTAGAAATGCTCTCTGAAATAAAGTCATATTCACTTTACAAATAAAAAAGAATATTTAGGCTGGGCGTGTTGACTCACGCTTGTAATCCTAGCATTTTGGGAGGCCAAGGTGGGTGGATCACTTGAGGTCAGGAGTTTGAGACTAGCCTGGCCAACATGGTGAAACCCTGTCTCTACTAAAAATACAAAATTAGCCGGGCATGGTGGTGGATGGCTGTAATCCCAGCTACTTGGGAGACTGAGACAGGGGAATCACTTGAACCCAGGAGGCAGAGGTTGCAGTGGGCCAAGACTGCACCACTGCACTCTACCCTGGACGACAGGGCGAAACTCCATCTTAAAAAAAAAAAAAAAAAAAGTATATTTAAATTAGTAAAGCTGTTGAAATAGAAAGATGAAATTCACAACCAAGAAATTTATCAATATGTACTAGTTCTTTAAATATTAAGATACAATTGACTGGGAGTGGTGGTTCATGCCTGTAATCCCAACACTTTGGGAGGCCAAGGCAGGTGGATCGTCTGAGGTCAGGACTTCAAGACCAGCTTGGCCAACATGGTGAAACCCCATCTCTACTAAAAATACAAAAAATTAGCTGGGAGTGGTGGCAGATGGCTATAATCCCAGCTATTCGGGAAGCAGAGGCAGGAGAATCGCTTGAACCCAGGAGGCAGAGATTGCAGTGAGCCAAGACTACGCCATTGCACTACAGCCTGGGCGACAAGAGTGAAACGCGTCTCAAAAAAAGAAAAGATACACTCAACGAGAGTACAGCCTTTACAAACAATATTTCCCTACATACCTTAGAGAAATGGCAATTTATTCCTATTTTCACTATAGAAACTGTAAAGTTCATGGATCACTTCAAGTGCTAAATAAGCGGGTGGCCATTAACCTGAGGCTATCTCCCCACTCTGAGTTCCTGTGTGACCCCACCCCCTGCAACCTAACTTATGTAAACAAACTGAAACCTAGGATTATATTTTTGTAATAAATAGCTGAATTTTAGTCAATCACAAACAGCTAAGCTTTAGCCAATCCCAAGCAGCCAACTGATGAGACCATGCACAAATAAGACAAACATAGCTATAGACAATCTAAAAATTTCTTGTCTTTGCTTTGTGTTCAGCCTACAACTGCTCATGCTGCTGGGTGAAGCTCTCTGAACCTCTTCTTCGTTCTGGGTCCTGCCCAATTCATGAATCATTCTTTGCTCAAATTGTTAATTTATCTAAAGTTTTTCTTTAACATAACTATGGAGACCTTTGAAGAAAATCAGTGACAGCAGCCCACCCTTCTTAGTCAGGGATAAAATGAGTTTAAAACACACTTTTGGCCGGGCACAGTGGCTCACGCCTGTAATCCCAGCACTTTGGGAGGCCAAGGTGGGTGGATCATGAGGTCAGGAGATCGAGACCATCCTGACTAACACAGTGAAACCGTGTCTCTACTAAAAATACAAAAACTTAGCTGGGCATGGTGGCGGGCGCCTGTAGCCCCAGCCACTCAGGAGGCTGAGGCAGGAGAATGGCGTGAACCTGGAAAGTGGAGTTTGCAGTGAGCCAAGATCGTGCCACTGCACTCCAGCCTGGGCGACAGAGCAAAACTCTGTCTCAAAAAAAAAAAAAAAAAAAAAACACACTTTCTGGCTGGGTACAGTGGCTCATGCCTGTAATCCCAGCACCTTGGGAGGCTGAGGTGGGTGGATCACCTGAGGTCAGAAATTCGAGACCAGCCTGACCAATATGGTAAAACCCCATCTCTATTAAAAACACAAAAATTATCCGGGCATGGTGGCATGCACCTGCAATCCCAGCTACCCAGGAGGCTGAGAAAGGAGAATTGCTTGAACCTGGGAGGCAGAGGTTGCAGTGAGCCAAGATCACGCCACCACACTCCAGCCTGGGCAACAGAGCAAGGCTCTGTCCCAAAAAAACAGTTTCCTACAAGATTCCATGTGTATGAAATAGATATATCTATAGAGACAGAAAGTACATTAGTGGCTGCCTAGGGCTACGGGAAGGAGTAATGGGGAGTGACTGCTAATGGGTATGGTGGTGATAAAAATATTCTCAAATTGGATTGTGGTGATGGTAGCATAATTCTGTGAAAATACTAAAAACATTCAACTGCATATTTTAAATGGCTGAATTATATGGTATGCAAATTACATCTCGATGAAGCTATTTTTAAAAAAGCATTTTCCTTCAGATACGCTTCATACCAGAACTATGTGCTCTAGTAGTATTTTTAATTAACTAAAAAACACATTTCAGACACAGCTGGTGACCAATGTTATTTAAGCCAACCACTGTCCTCTTGTAATGTGACTTATTTTGTACCAAGTGAAAGACAAAGCAAAAACAAAGGTATTCCAAAGATCTTATACTGATCAAACTATGAGACTTAAATGATACTATCAAAAGTATTCAAAAATTAGCTGTGAGTCAGGACAAGGAGATGTGACAGTTAAGCAAAGAAGGCTGACAAAGAGATTCCAGAGGCAGAGGAGTCAGAGGATGAATAAATTGTGTTCTCTGACTCCTGTCTTTGGAGCAAAGGAAGACGGCCAGTGAAACAGTCTTCCAACCCTTCCAGAGACACTTCTGAAGCTGGGTTCTGTTTTTCAACACTACTGTGAATGAAAAGCTATGGCACCTGGCAATCCAGAAAACTCAGCATGATGTAATAAGAGTTCATCCCACTCCATCAACTGTTTCTATATGAAGGGTACACATATATATCTTCAGTCTTGCCCTTAAAAACTCCCCCTGTACCCGTGACTTAAAATAACAGGTTTGGCTGGGTGCGGTGGCTCACACCTGTAATCCCAGCAATTTGGGAGGCCAAGATGGGTGGATCACTTGAGGTCAGGAGTTCGAGACCAGCCTGGACAACATGGTGAAACCCTGTCTCTACTAAAAAAAAAAATACAAAAATTAGCTGGGCATAGTGGCAAGCACCTCTAATCCCAGCTACTTGGGAGGCTGAGACAGGCAAATTACTTGAACCTGGGAAGTGGAGGTTGCAGTGAGCCAAGATCACACCACTGCACTCCACCCTGGGCGATAGAGTGAGACTCTATCTCCAAAAAAAAAAAGTACAGGATTAGGTTGGACAGAGAAGGTGTTTATGAAAAGAAAGATTACTGATAATCCATAGATTATTAGATAAGGGGTCTATGCCCCTTATCTGAAATCCCTGGGGCAAGATATATTTTGGGATTCAGAATTCTTCAGATTTAAGAACAGTAAGGCAAAGCACATATACTGCATAGCACTGCCAGCTGGGTATGGACAAGCATCCTATAACCTAATACATCTATTTTAATTCCTACAACAAAACATTTGAATACTGACACTAAATGGGATAAAGAAAACAGTGAGTCCTGTGTCAGTTTAGGTCAGATTTTGCTGCCAAACTAGTTATAAATAACTTGATTTTCAGCATTTTGTAGATTTTAGAATTATATATAAGGGACTGTACACCTGTACTGGTTTCTCACTTGTTCTACTGCAACTCCCAGTAAATGGGCCTCTAGCATAAAATCCTGGCTATCCTAAGGTAAGGAATGAAAGCAGAAAGTCTGGAGATGGCTGAGAGGTACCGGCTTTGTCAGTGGCTTGGATTTCCTAACCACAGCTATCCTACTGCACTGTGTTCCCACTGACAAGTTTTATTAAACAACTCATGTATCTTCACACAGAGTAATATCTTCAATCTAACTGAGTAATGATACTAAATTGTACTCAAGGTAGAGTTAGCCAAATATAAAAGACATATCTGAATCTCTCCTATAAAATACAGGAAGAATACTTACTTTGGGTAACATATGCACCAAAAAGAATCCACATGGAAGCAATAAGTGACCCAAACATCAACATGAAACCAATGAAAAGCCAAACTCGAGCACCTGTGTGGAGAAGAGGCTTATGATTTTGTTCATTTTTACAGCCCTATAATGTCTTAGGAATACATAACACTAGAAGCCCTGTTAGCCTTATATGTATTATGCATATCAAAGATAGTCATATATTTATATAAATCTGCTCTAAGTTAAATGAATGATGATTAAAAAAAAAAAAAAAAAAACTAAACTAAAAGAAGTTAAACCATACATGGAAAAGGAAAAAAAGTAAGTTACCTTTTTACTGACTAGAGAAATGAATGCCCTAACTAAAAAATTACGCTGCTGTATATATTATCAAAATAACTGCCCTATTAAAAGTAGCATATGCATTCTGGATAGCCATCATCACAAAGGAATAAGAGACGTCAAATGAAGAAGGACTAATATGTTCCTTTTTAATCAATGGTAAGCTTCTATAATCACACCATTACTCAATATGGTACAAATAATGGCCATTCTTTAGAGTATGTTCAGGCTTGTTTATTGCTGAGGCAGCCAATCTGTACCACATATTCATGAAAACTTCAAAATCAGAAGCATCTCTTCAACCCTGTATTGAACAAAATTCTAGATGTCAATAATGTAATCATCTGGACACCCGAGTAGATTCAACACATTTTTAGGAAAGCAGGTTAACACTTGCACCAGACCCTGTTCACAGGTATACTGACAGCCCCATCACCTCTGCAAGGGGAACAAAGCTCCACTGAAGTAAAAATAAAATCCTAGCCAACTTCCATAACAGAAAACTAAATTTGCCTCAGTTGCAAATATTTTGTTACCACTGAATAGATTCATTTTAGACACTAGATAAGGAGGAAACACTGATCAAAGTTCATGATGGTTAGAACAGCTGATATTTGAGAGAAACAGATCTCTATATTATCTAAATTTTATTACAATACTAAGTAGATCTCCAGAAATAAAAACAGTAATGTTTAATGCTTTGGAGAAATACAATCTCTAAATTATATTCAATCATAGCTTTTATCTAATGTGAATAAAAGGAACTATTAAAAATCCTTAAAGACCGGGCACAGTAGCTCACACCTGTAATCCTAGAAATTTGGGAAGCCAAGGTGGGTGGATTGCCTGAGCTCAGGAGTTCGAGACCAGCCTTGGCAACATGGTAAAACCCCATTTCTACTAAAAGAACAAAAAATCAATTGGGCGTGGTGGCAGGTGCCTGTAGTCCCAGCCATTCAAGAAGCTGAGGCAAGAGAATTGCTTGAACCTGAGAGGCAGAGGTTGCAGTGAGCCGAGATCATGCCACTGCACTCTGGCCTGCATAACAAAGCAAAACTCTGTTTCCCCCCGCCAAAAAAAAAAAAAAAAAAAAAAAAAATCCTTACAATTATTTTCCATCATGTCCTTTATTTATAGCTATATACATTAAACTTTCTAATAGAATTAAACAAGAAAAAAGTTTCTCTTGAAAAATAAGTATGTCTGAGGGTATATTAACAAAAAGAGAAAAAAAAAGAAAAAGAAGTATGCTTTTGTTTAGCAAAAAAATAAAACTATAATATTTTCTCATTTGCTCTGGCTACAAGGAAGCTCTGAGCTAAGGTTAATGACAATTAAAAGCACCCATCTTGTCCCAGGTTCTAAGTACAACGATCATTTTTCTACCTAGTTCCGGTTCCTTTTTATGGTTTTATTATTTACCTGTTTCATTTATAGTATATTTATTATTTTGATACTTTCCTATTAATTCCTCTGGGAACTAAATAGAGATGGTTTACAAATAAACCACTTAAGGAGTACAAAAGCTAAAGAGTAGCAACACCTGGGCATGACTCTAAGACAGTTTGTCCTTAATTTCTGAAGCACTAGACAGAAATTGCACTATATGCACAATATATAAACTGCACTGTTAATTTTAACAGAATAGGGAATATCATAGAATAATCACTTAGTGAGGGTAAAAACGATGGGCCTGGGAACCAGACAGACCAAAGACAAATACAGGTTCTACTTTTAAGTTAAAAAACTTTGGATAAGTTACAATGAAACTTCCTATAAAAAACGGGTAATAGTGGCCAGCCACAGTGGCTTACACGGGTAATGCCAACTACTCTGGAGGCTGAAGGGGGAGGACTGCTTGAGCCCAGGAGTTCCAGGCTTTTCTGCGCTATGATCACACCACTGCACCCTAGCCTGGGTGACAGAGCAAGACCCTGTCTCAAAAAAAGATAATAGTAACATAATTCACAGCAATGTCCGTGGAATATTCTTTAAAGAAAAATGATGGAGTACATTATTGTATGCTCTACATACAACATCTTCACTTGCTAATATATATTATTTTTTCTTTACCTTCCCTCATTCCTGACATTACTGCTGAGGCTGACACACAGGATATGCTAAAAAGTGAGCGCAATTGCATGCGCATACACACACACACACTTTAAACTTAGGTTCATCTGTCATTTGTCATTATATCCTCTCGCGAATTCTCCATGGATTCCAGTAGAAGTGAGGTTATAAAATCTACATCAGCATTAAAGTATCAGGTAGAAGGCTGGGCATGGTGGCTCATGCCTGTAATCCCAGCACTTTGGGAGGCCAAGGCGGGTGGATCACCTGAGGTCAGGAGTTCGAGACCAGCCTGGCCAACATGGTGAAACCCAGTTTCTACTGAAAATACAAAAATTAGCTAAGCGTGGTGGCGGGCACCTGTAATCCCAGCTACTCGAGAGGCTGAGGCAGAAGAATTGCTGGAGCCTGGGAGGCGGATGATGCAGTGAGCTGAGATTACACTACTGCACTCCAGCCTGGGTGACAGAGTAAGACTCCATCTCAAAAAAAATACATACAAAATTAAAAAAATAAGACGCCAAGTAGAAAAGCAAGCTAAGCTCTTCACAGCTGCTTTATTTGGTTTAAAAGGCTATGATACTTACCATATGATCTCATTTATATGAAAGAGCAGAAAAGGCAAAGCTACCGTCATAGAAAGTAGATCAGTGGGCCGGGCGCGGTGACTCAAGCCTGTAATCCCAGCACTTTGGGAGGCCGAGACGGGCGGATCACGAGGTCAGGAGTTCGAGACCATCCTGGCTAACATGGTGAAACCCCATCTCTACTAAAAAATACAAAAAAGCTAGCCGGGCGAGGTGGCTGGTGCCTGTAGTCCCAGCTACTCGGGAGGCTGAGGCAGGAGAATGGCGTAAACCCGGGAGGCGGAGCTTGCAGTGAGCTGAGATCCGGCCACTGCACTCCAGCTCGGGCGACAGAGCAAGACTCCGTCTCAAAAAAAAAAAAAAAAAAAAAAAAAAAAAGAAAGTAGATCAGTGGTGACCAGGAGGTGAGGGGAAGGGGATTAACTATAAAAAGGGGTATGAAGGAACTTTCTGGGGTAATGGAAATGTTCTATATCATGATTGTAGTGGTAGTTACACAACTGTAACTGTACACATTTGTTCAAACTCATCAAACTGTACACTTTAAATTGGTGGATTCTGGTCAGGCGTGGCGGCTCATGCCTGTAATCCCAGCACTTTGGGAGGCTGATAACTTGAGGACAGGTGGATAGCTTGAGGCCAGGAGATCAAGACCAGCCTGAACCACATGGTAAAACCCTGTCTATACAAAAAATAAATAAATTAGCTGGGCGTGAAGGCATGTCCCTATAATCACAACTACTTGAGAAACTGAGGTGGGAGGATCACTTGAGTCCCAGGCTGTGGAGGCTGCAGTGAGCCAAGATTGTGCCACTGCACTCCAGCCTAGGAGACAGAGAGACTCTATCTCAAAAAAATTTCATAAAATAATAAATAGTGAATTGTATTATACTTAAATTATATTGAGTTAAGCTGACAAAAAGAAAAAAATATACATGTGGTACCAAACCAGACAAAGTGACCAAATGGTTCTAGATGGGAAACAAGTACAGCATGGTGGCTAAAAGCATGGGCTCTGGAGTGTTCAATCACTGTCAGTGTTCAATCCTGGCTCCACCACTTACTTGCTCTGTGACTTTGGACACATTATTTAAGCCCACTGTACCTTAATTTCTTCATATTATAATGTAAATTTTTTTGTTTGTTTGTTTTTGAGACAGAGTTTCGCTCTTGTTACCCAGGCTGGAGTGCAATGAGGTGATCTTGGCTCACTGCAACCTCCGCCTCCCGGGTACAAGCGATTCTCTTGCCTCAGTCTCCCAAGTAGCTGGGACTACAGAAGTGAGTCAATACACCTGGCTAATTTTGTATTTTTTTTAAGTAGAGACGGGGTTTCTCCATGTTGGCGAAGCTGGTCTTAAACTCCTGACCTTAGGTGATCCACCCGTCTCAGCCTCCCAAAGTGCTGGAATTACAGGTGTGAGTTACCACACCCGGCCGTAAATTTTTAAAAAACACAATTGGGCCAGGCTCAGTGGCTCACTCCTGTAATCCTAGCACTTTGGGAGGCCAAGGTGGGCAGATCACCTGAGGTCAGAAGTTCAAGACCAGCCTGATCAACATGTAGAAACCCCATCTCTACTAAAACTACAAAACTAGGCAGGCATGGTGGCGCATGCCTGTAATCCCAGTTACTCTGGAGGCTGAGGCAGGAGAATCGCTTGAACCCAGGAGGTGGAGGTTGTGGTGAGCCAAAAATGCACCACTGCACTCCAGCCTGGGCAAGAAAAGCGAAATTCCGTCTGAAAAAAAAAAAAGGATGATAATTCAAATGAATTCAAACTACAAAAACTAATTTATGTGTAGACAAATAGCATCTTTCTTCTGAACAATTTTGTTGCAGTCTGTGGGTGGCTACTCAGGTGATCAGAAGTGAATGTAAAGACAGTGTAGTCCTAGGTTCGATCCTCTAATGTGTTCATTATTTTCCTTTAATAATCACAGTCAGCCATCTTGTAAGTAGCATTATTGGTCAACAACTGGGATAAGAATAAATCCATCATTAGCACTGGAGTCCAAGATCCATCTGAATAGCAACATTTTTTATCTATATCATGGGCAGTGTAACATGACAAAAATAATAACTTCTAGCAATAACTTACTTTCTTAAGGATTTGAATAACACTAAAACTTGTTTTTAAAGCAAATAAAAAATATTCCATATAATCATCACCAGTCCTGAATAAAGACTCACAAGAGAGGCTTTTTTTCTGGTGACAAATTTCTATTTTGTTAACACACATTAACAGCTCAAAGTATCTTTACCTGTTCTTCCTAAACAGCCGCTTTCATAGCTATCACCTCTCACCTGAGCATTGGATACAGCATTTATCCTAGAACAGTACAAAATCATCAAATGAATTTCAGTATTTGCTGTTAAAATACTCAAATATTTAAAACAGATTATTTCATAACTAAAATCAATATACGAATAATTTAACATCTTTTAACCTAATAAAAATGCTAGTGGATAGAAATGTTACATTAGTCTTATTTTTCATAAAGTACACCCAGAAAACACACTTATTTTAAGAGATTTCTATCACTTGTCTGCAGAGATTATACAAGAGGGGCCAGTTTTCTGGTTTCTTTGTCTATTTCACATTTATACATGAATGACTCACTGCTATCCCATTTCAAGGTTCTCATTATTATCAAGAGTTAAACAGTTTCTCCTTGTGTTAAAAGTCAAGTGATTTTCTATGATCCATTCCTTAAGCTCAGAGAAAATGTAGTTTATGTAATATGCCCACTTTATTCAGCTTCCCCTTTCATTTTTGTTAGAGCAAGGTACATAAATTAGTAGCAGGAATTTCCTTTTTTTAGCAGTCACAATGGATATAAGTAGTTCCATTTCCCATAATATAACCTTTTAAAACTCCTGGCCAGGTGTAGTGGCTTACACCTGTAATTCCAGCACTTTGAGAGGCCAAGGCAGGTGAATCACAAGGTCAGGAGTTCAACATCAGCCTGGCCAACATAGTGAAACCACCGTCTCTACTAAAAATGCAAAATATTAGCTGGGCGTAGTAGCAGGCACCTGTAATCCCAGCTACTTGGGAGGCTGAGGCAGGAGAAGCACTTGAACCCAGGAGGCAGAGGTTGCAGTGAACTGAGATCGCGCCACTGCGGTCCAGCCCAAACAACAGAGTAAGACTCTGTCTCAAAAAATAATAATAATAATAAAACCTCCTGACAGTATAAGGAAATGATGTAATCTTAATGTTTAATATTTTTTAATTGTTAAAAGACATCCATAAAAAGCTTCCAAGTTTTATGAAATGAGGTAACATAAACTTAAAAATAATTTAAAATAAAAGCTACAAACAAATCTCTTTGAGGTCAATCTTGCCTTTTCCTCAAACACTGGCAAACACAGTCAAATAGCACATTAAAAAAAATAATAATAATACTGCAAGGTAAAAGTTGAGTGTACTCCAACACCTATGGACGATTCACTACTAAAAAATACAGAAATGTAACGTGTTTCAGAGGCCATGAGTTTTAAGATACACCATTAATTTTAATACTGACAAGAAATAAAAATGTTATCAATTATAATTCTAATTATACTAAATATACTAATTATATACTGACTACAAGATGCATCCTGATATTCAGAGGTATTAAAATGTGAAAAAGTAGATCTTGGAACTGACAAAATGTGTAACTGACCAGATTAAAAAATATGAGGAAAAAAAAAATCACAAGATAATCGTTATAGGTGCTAAAAAGATATATGCCCAAATCCAACACTCATTCTTGGTTTAAAAAAAAAATCCTAATAAAATGGGAATTATGTATGCATCATGTTAAAAAATAATCTATCAAATAAATCAAAAAGTTATTCAAGAAAGCACTGCACATTATCAGGAAAGTATTTTTAGAAAAATCATATTGAATACAGAATTATCATCATACTTACATGAAGAAAGCCAAGGTGGAAAATACACCACATGTGTGAAAGGCATGGTTCAACTGTTCTGGCTTAGGATACACCACAGCTGCATCAATCATTATCCACCAGCCTGTAAAAAACTTAAAACACAGCCCAAGTCACTGAAACACTGAAACTCTTGCTAGCACAATACCTGCTTTTTAACATTCCTTTTGTCCTACAGATCATATAAATGGGCTGGGTGCAAAGGCTCACGCCTGTAATCCCAGCACTTTGGGAGGCCGAGTCAGGTGGATCACTTGAGGTCAGGAGTTCGAGACCAGCCTGGCCATCATGGTGAAACCTCACCTCTACTAAAAATATAAGGCTGGGCGTCGTGGCTCACGTCTGTAATCCCAGCACTTTGGGAGGCCAACACGGGCAAATTATCTGAGGTCAGGAATTTGAGACCAGTCTGGTCAACATGGTGAAACCTCGTCTCTACTAAAAGTACAAAAATTAACTAGGCATGGTGGCAGGCACACATAATCCTGCCTACTCAGGAGGCTGAGGCAGGAGAATCGCTTGAACCCAGGAGGTGGAGGCTACAATGAGCTGAGATCACGCCACTGCACTCCAGCTTGGATGACGGAATGAAACTGTCTCGAAAAAATTCAAATACAAATACAAAAATTAGCTGGGCATGGTGGCATGTGCTTCTAATCCTAGCTACTTCGGAGGCTGAGGCACAAGAATTGCTTGAACCTGGGAACTCGGAGGCAGAGGCTGCAGTGAGCAGACTGCTTCACAATTATCGTTAGTTCTTGCTCTGCTTTATTTCATTCTATTGGACTTAAGTGTAGAACTGTACATTCAAAGAGATGAATTTTTAAAATGTAAACAAATAAAGAAATTTGCTTCCAAAAAATGCAGTGGGAGCCAGAAATGGTAGTGTAGAAAACCTGTAGTCCCAGCTACTTGGGAGACTGAGGCAGGAAGATTGCTTGAGATCATGAATCTGAAGTCGTAGCACACTACAATCATACCTGTGAATAGCCACTGTACTCCAGTGGCTGTACAACATAGCAAGACCTTTTCTCTTTAAAAAAAAAAAAAAAAAAGTGCGGCCAGGGAGTGGTTGATGGAATTATACAGCAAGACAGGTCCTGATTTTGGGGTGGTGGTGTTTTTTTTTTAAGCTGGATGATAGATACATGGGATAAAGGAGGAGACAGAACCTTTATAACATTCTCTCTACTTTTGTTTTATGCTTAAATGATGGAAAGAAAATTAAACAATAGTTTCCTTCACAAATGTCTTCCTCTGATATTCCCCTGGTGTTGCAGCTGGGGAAACAGAGATGGTATTTCTTCCCTAGAGCCGCTGTAGGACTTCAGTTCTAATGGAGCCTAAGGTTGTCACTATTATCTGCAGAGTACTGTCACTGTTGTCTGACCTTCAATAAGTCACAACAATAATTTTGTGTTACATTAAATCCTGAGCCTTTAAGGATCTTAAAGTACTTATATACATTGTATCACTAAGTTAAAAATGCTATTGCCTATAATAATTATATTATCACTGGCACTGAAGAAAAGATATTAAGTACACGTTTACAAAGTCAAAATGAATCCAGGGCCTACCATACTCTGCTTGGCAATAGTATCTAGAACTGTGATAATTATCTATACAAAACAGCAGTGAAATAAATAGTTCTGGAAAGCCATTCTCAGTTCAAAGGAACTGGCATTGATTTCCAGGGCAAAAGGTAAGGGATAAATGTCACCAACCTGTCTTTCTCACTTACCAATATACCTGCGACAACAGACGCCACAGCATTTCTTCTCTCGCCCCAGTCAATACACTCACATTCTGGCCAACGAAAATTGTCTAGGAAGCCTGCCATTTTTACTTCTTAAGCGTAAATGTTTCATTAAATGCTGTATCCTACAAACAGAAAGACAAAAACTAATCAACCCAAGACAATGTTTTCTAAAAGTAAAATATCTTACTCCTTTACTTTACTTTAGGTCCTATTCTACTATAGTTAAGAAAAATTCAATACTTCAACAAATACCTAATTGAGATGTATACAGGACTACGCTAGGACACAAGGGGGAGATTGCTATTTGATAAATGAGCACTATGGTTTTAAAACATGTCTAGGAGCTAGGTGACGTGGCTCACGCCTGTTATTCCAGCACTTTGGGACGCCGAAGTGGGCAGATCACTTGAAGCCAGGAGTTTGAGACCAGCCTGGCCAATATTATGAAACCCTGTCTCTACTAAATATACGAAAAATTAACTGGGCCTGGTGGCACATGCCTGTAATTACAGCTACTTGGGAGGCTGAGGCACAAGAATTGCTTGAACCTGGAAGGAGAGATTGCAGTGCAAGATCATGCCACTGCACTCCAGCCTGGGCAACAGAGCAAGACTCTGTCACAAAAATAAATAAATAAATGAAATAAATTAAACATGTTCAAAATATTTGACACTTCTTCCATTGAGAGGTGGATTTATGTCCTACCTTTGAATTTGGGTCAACAATAAAGACTAGTTGACCAGTAGAGTAGAGGAAGTGATGCTAAGTAACTTCTGCCATGCAACTTCCAAGATCAGGTCACAGAAGGCAACGGACCATCTGCCTGGTTCTCTAGAACACTAATGCTCGGGCTACCATGCTGTAAGGAGACCATTTATAGGTGTTCTGACCCACAGTTCCAGTTGAGGTCCCAGCTAATAGCTAGTACTAACTGCCAGACATGTGAGTAAAGACACGTCTCTACTAAAAATACAAAATTAGCCATGAGTGGTGGCGCATGCCTGTAATCCCAGTTACTTGGGAGGCTGAGGCAGGAGAATCACTTGGACCCAGGAGGCGGAGGTTGCAGTGAGCTGAGATCTCGCCACTGCACTCCACCCTGGGTGATAGAGCGAGACTCTGTCTCCAAAAAAAGAAAAGAAGTTAGAAGACCAGTAAAAAAGATTCACATATAAATAACACAGGTATTTCAGAAACTACACATGAAACAGAAGAGAAAAAAGAATCGGCCGGGCGCGGTGGCTCAAGCCTGTAATCCCAGCACTTTGGGAGGCCGAGACGGGCGGATCGCGAGGTCAGGAGATCGAGACCATCCTGGCTAACACGGTGAAACCCCGTCTCTACTGAAAAATATGAAAAACTAGCCGGGCGAGGTGGCGGGCGCCTGTAGTCCCAGCTACTCGGGAGGCTGAGGCAGGAGAATGGCGTGAACCCAGGAGACGGAGCTTGCAGTGAGCTGAGATCTGGCCACTGCACTCCAGCCTGGGCGACAGAGCGAGACGCCGTCTCAAAAAAAAAAAAAAAAAGAATCAACAAAATATTTCAAGAAAATTTCCCCAGAATAAAAGTTCTTGTATTTCCAGATTTAAAGTACCCATTGAATACTTAAGTAATGGAGTAAACTCACACTTCATTTTAAATTTCAAAACACTGAGGTCAAAGTGTAGATTCTATAAGTTTGCAGATACGAAAAAAACCAGGTCGCATACAAAGGTTTTTGGAATTCGTGTGTGTGTGTGTGTGTCTGAGAGAGAGAGAGAGCAAGAGAGAGACAGGGTCTCGCTCTGTCACCCAGGCTGGAGTGCAGTGGCATGATCACAGCTTACTGCAGCCTCTACCTGCTGGGCTCAAGTGATCCTCCCACTGCAGCCCCCAGAACAGCTGGGACTACAAGCACACACTACCACACCCAGCTAATTTTTTATAGAGATGGGATTTTGCCATATTGCCCAGGCTAGTCTTGAACTTCTGGACTTAAGCAATCCACCCACTGCAGCCTCCCAAAGTGCTGGGATTACAGGCGTGAGCCACCATGCCTGGCCCTCAGCTTGGAATTCTTAACAGTAAAACCACAAGCAAGATGACAATGGGGCAGTAAATTCAAAACTCTGTAGGACAATTATTTCCAACTAAAAGATTTTTACCAGTCAAAATATCAATCAAGTATGAGGATAGCATCAAAACATATTCAGAAGCATTTTAGAGGCCAACGCAGGCCTCTCACTTGAAGCCAGGAGTTCAGGACCAGCCCGGCCAACAAGGCGAAATCCCGTCTCTATTTAAACAACAACAACAAAATATTCAGACACGCAAGGTCTCCAAAAAATGTAACTATTCTTGTCAAGAAGCTACTGGAGTTTGAGCTTCAACAGGGAGAGTGAATTAATAAAAGAGAATATGGGATACAGGAAAGATCCTGCACAGAAGAGCTAAAGAGAATCCAGCTGTGCCCCAGAAGCAGCAGATAATCAGGCCAGACTGCAGCAGTGTAACTCAGGAGATAACGTCTTGGCTGGTAGAGCAGTTTTTTGTGGGGGATTTTGTGCCTTTATAAAAAACAATCTTTTAAAAAATCCAGTGGAATATAGCAGCTTTTGAAGCTGAGGACTGAATGCTCCAAGAACTTGGCCCAGAGCCTATCTGTACTCACTGGGGCTTGGCTTGATCCTGAACATATGCTGATGCAGTTCCTGCTCTCCTGCAAGGCGTGCAGCCTTCTTCAGCAGACTACACTCACTTCCCCCAGAGAGAGGTTCTGCTTTCACCTACTCTGGTAACTACAGGTAGGCCATGGTGAGCTAAGAAGCAGAAAATGCAGAGGAACCCACTCCTTCTGACCTTATTTTTGTTGTCTTTCCATTACGTGGTCCACTAGAACCTTCCAGATACCCTGACTGAGGTGACCCCCCTTTCCTAGGACTCATAACACAGCACATAAACTTCCTCAGAAAGGCCCCCTGTAAACAGGCAAGGGATCTGAAGTCATTCTGTTCAGCTCATCTTTTCTTGAAAACCTTCATCTAAGTGGCTGTCCTTTCCTTAGTCAAGTTTGACCTTATAATTATAAAATGAGGCCAGGCATGGTGGCTCATGCCTGTCATCCCAACACTTTGGGAGGCTGAGGCAGGTGGATCACGAGGTCAGGAGTTCGAGACCACCCTGGCCAACGTAGTGAAACCCCATCTCTACTAAAAATACAAAAATTAGCCGGGCATGGTGGCACACACCTGAAACCTTGGCTACTCAGGAGACTGAGGCAGGAGAATTGCTTGAACCTGGAAGGTGGAGGTTGCAGTGAGCCAAGATGGCACCACTGCACTCCAGCTGGGCAACTGAGCAAAACTCGGTCTCAAAAAAAAGCTCAGGCTGGGCGTGACGGCTCACACCTGTAATCCCAGCACTTTAGGAGGCCGAGACGGGCGGATCACGAGGTCAGGAGATCGAGACCATCCTGGCTAACACAGTGAAACTCCGTCTCTACTAAAAATACAAAAAAGTAGCCGGGCGAGGTGGCGGGTGCCTGTAGTCCCAGCTACTCGGGAGGTTGTGGCAGGAGAATGGTGTGAACCCAGGAGGCGGAGCTTGCAGTGAGCCAAGATTGCGCCCCTGTACTCCAGCCTGGGTGACAGAGTGCGATTCCATCTCAAAAAAAAAAAAAAAAAAAAAAAAAGAAAGCTCCAGCATTTTCTAATAAGTATGTCTGGACTTCATCTACGCTCTCAGGGACAGAACTTTGTTATTACAGTTTATTTAATGAACAACCCACTATTAATAAAGATGCAGACAGTTTATAGCCCTCTGAGGTTTAACTGCAGAAATTAATGAGGTGTTATGATTTTATAGCCTGGTAAGAAAATCAATCCCAAAGATATTATGATTTTGTTGCCCTGTGGAACATTAACCAATTAAACTAACTTAGTCATACTATTGAGACTTTTCTTTCCCTACAAACTGCATAAATACCGATTCCTTATATCCTTTTAAAACCAGCTCTTTGGCTGGGCACGGTGGCTCACACCTGTAATCCCAGCACTTTGGGAGGCCAAGGTGGGCAGATCACCTAAGGTCAGGAGTTTGAGACCAGCCTGGCCAGCATGGCCAAAGCCCATCTCTACTTAAAATACAAAAATTAGCCAGGCATGGTGGCGGGCGCCTGTAATCCTAGCTACTCAGAAGCCTGAGGCAGAACTGCTTGAGCCCGGGAGGAGAAGGTTGCAGTGAGCTGAGATCATGCCACTGCACCCCAGCCTGGGCGACAGAGCCAGACTCCAACTCAAAACAAAACAAAAAAACACAGCTCTCAAAACAAACAAAAAAAAAACTCTCAATAATAGTAAAACAAAACTGAAACACACTGCTTAACTATCTGCATGAGAATTGTGTTTCTAACACTATTCATTCAAAACAAAGGTGGCTCACACCGGTAATCCCAGCACTTTGTGAGGCCGAGGCAGATGGACCACCTGAGGTCAGGAATTCAAGACCAGCCTGGCCAACCTGGAGAAACTCAGTTCCTACTAAAAATAAAAAAAACTAGCCGGGTGTGGTGGTGGTCACCTGTAATCCCAGCTACTCCAGCGGCTGAGGCAGGAGAATCCCTTGAACCCAAAAGGCGAAGGCAGCAGTGAGCTAAGACTGCGCCAGTGCACTCCAGCCTGGGTAACAGAGCAAGACTCTGTCTCAAACAAAAACAAACAAACAAACAAACAAAAAAAACACTAAATACACTGTTTAGGATACAGGAGTGTGTCTGTAAATTTATGTATATATTTGTAAATATTTATGCACATATGTATAAATGTATATGTACATGAATTTATGTATACATGCATAAAGCTTATTTTAAAAAGCAAGAGAAAGATAAACACAAAAATCAGGACAGAGGCTACCTCTGGAAGAAAAAAATGCAAACATTTTGTTCCCCCACTGCCGCCATCCCCAAGACAGAGTCTTGCTCTGTCACCCAGGATGGAGCGCAGTGGCGTGATCTGGGCTCACCGCAACCTCCACCTCCCAGGTTCAAGCAATTCTCCTGCCTCAGCCCCCTGAGTAGCTGAGATTACAGGTGCCCACCACCACGACTGGCTAATTTTTATATTTTTGGTAGAGACAGGATTTCACATGTTGGCCAGGTGGGTCTCCAACACCTAGCCTTCAGTGATCTGCCTGTCTCAACCTCCCAAGATGCTGGGACTACAGGTGTGAACCACTGTGCCTGGCCCAACATTTTGTTTCTTAATTTGGTAGTGGATACATAATGATCACTGCAATAGTATTCTTTAAATTTTACATGTTTTATATATTTTTTGTACCTGAGATAAAATTTGCAATAAAAGAAATTACTTTTTTGTGTGTGTGTGTGAGATGGAGTCTCGCTCTGTCGCCCAGGCTGGAATGCAGTGGCACCATCTCGGCTCACTGTAACCTCCACCTCCTGGTTTCAAGCAGTTCTCTGCCTCCACCTCCCGAGTAGCTGGGATTACAGGCGCCCACCACCACAACTGGCTACTTTTTTGTATTTTTAGTAGAGACGGGGTTTCACCATCTTGGCCAGGCTGGTCTTGAACTCCTGACCGCGCCCAGGAATAAATTACTTTTAAAAAGAACAAGCAGCCAGGCGCGGTGGTTCACGCCTGTAATCCCAGCACTTTGGGAGGCCGAGATGGGCAGATCACGAGGTCAGGAGATGGAGACCATCCTCGCTAACACGGTAAAACCACATCTCTACTAAAAATACAAATAAATTAGCTGGGCATGGTAGCGGGCACCTGTAGTCCCAGCTACTCAGGAGGCTGGGGCAGGAGAACGGCGTCAACCTGGGAGGCGGAGCTTGCAGTGAGCCGAGATCGCACCACTGGACTCCAGTCTAGGCGACAGAGCGAGACTCCGTCTCAAAAAAAAAATAAAAAAATAAAAATAAAAAATACATATATATATATATATATATATATGGAGCCAAGGTGGTTGGATCACCTGCTGAGGTCAGGAGTTCAAGACCAGCCTGACCAACATGGAGAAACCCCGTCTCTGCTAAAAATACAAAATTAGCCGGGGTGGTGGCGCATGTCTGTAATCCCAGCTACTCGGGAGGTTGAGGCAGGAGAACTGCTTGAACCTGGGAGACGGAGGTTGTGGTGAGCCAAGATTGCACCATTGCACTCCAGCCTGGGCAACAAGAGCAAAACTCCGTCTCTAAATAAATAAAATATATGGAATATTAGAAATGCATTTAATTCCAATAGATTTAGCTACTGCTTTTAAATTATAAAATCTTTAAGTTATAATGTCAGGCGTGGTGGCTCATGCCTATAATCCCACCACTTTGGGAGGCTGAGGCAGGTGGATCACGAGGTCAGGAGATCAAGACCATCCTGGCTAACATGGTGAAACCCCATCTCTACCAAAAATACAAAAAATTAGCTGGGCGTGGTGGCAGGCGCCTGTAGTCCCAGCTACTCGGGAGGCTGAGGCAGGAGAATAGCGTGAACCGGGAAGGCAGAGCTTGCAGTGAGCAGAGATCGTGCCACTGCACTCCAGCCTGGGCGACAGAGCGAGACTCCGTCTCAAAAAAAAAAAACAAACTTTAAGTTATAAAAAGATTCCTTGTGAAATAAAATTATATCAAAGTACAATCATCTATTTATATTATCTACCTGAAACTTACCCTACAATGACAAAAAGATTTTCATAAAGCAAGGCTTTTAATGGCTAAAACCCAGAAACAGCCAAAATGCCCATCAATAAGGAACCAAAAAATGTATATTAGGGTACATCCAAACAACAGTATACCCCACTACATTTTGAGAATGAGGCAGGTTGGCTGGGCAGGATGGCTCACACCTGTAATCCCAGCACTCTGAGAGGCTGAGGCAGGTGGATAGCTTGAGCTCAGGAATTGAAGACCAGCCTGGGCAACATGAGGAACCCATCTCTACAAAAATTACAAAAATCAGACGTGGTGGCACTCACCTATAGTCTCAGCTACTCGGGAGGCTGAGGTGGGAGAATCGTTTGAGCCCCAAGGCTGCAGTGAGCAGTGAGGGAACCACTGCACTCTACCCGGGGCAACACAGTTAGACCCGGTCTCCAAAGTGAGGGGTGGGGTTGCAGGGAAATGAGTTAGGTCTCTACGTGCTTAAGAAGGAAATGTGTCCTTATATTATCATCAGCTGCCGAGCAATATTATAGTATAATATCCTCCTAGGGAATGGAATTGAGGATGTAAAGAGTGAAAAGTGAAGAAACAAGGAATCCTAACTTGACATACCTCTGCGCTGAATTTTACTTGATATTCTTCTGTCATGTTTAAATGTTTTAAACAACCTGAATGTTACTTTAACCATTTAAAAAGGAAAATGGACTAGGTACGGTGGCTCACGCCTGTAATTCCAGCACTTTGGGAAGCCGAGGCAGGTAGATCACCTGAGATCAGGAGTTCAAGCCTCTACTAAAAATACAAAAATTAGCTGGGCATGGTGGGGGGCATCTGTAATCCCAGCTACTTGGGAGGCTGAGACGGGAGAAACGTTTCAACCTGGGAGGCGGAGGTTGCAGTGAGCCACGATTACGCCACTGCACTCCAGCCTGGGTAACAAGAGCGAAACTCTGCCTCAAAAAAATATATACATATAAATAAGTTAAAAATAAACTTTAGGCTGGGCACGGTGACTTACGCCTGTAATCCCAGCACTTTGGGAGGCCGAGGTGGGTGGATCATGAGGTCAGACAATCGAGACCATCCTGGCTAACACGGTGAAACCTCGTATCTACTAAAAATACAAAAAATTAGCCTGACGTGGTGGTTGGTGCCTGTAGTCCCAGCTACTTGGGAGGCTGAGGCAGAAGAATGGGGTGAACCCAGGAGGCGGAGCTTGCAGTGAGCTGAGACTGCACCACTGCACTCCAGCCTGGGCGACAGAGTGAGACTCCGTCTCAAAAAGTCAATAAACAAATAATAATAAACTTTAAAAGGCCAGGCGCGGTGCCCACGCCTGTAATCCCAGCATTTGGAGAGACCGAGGCGAGCAGATCACTTGAGGTCAGGAGTTCAAGACCAGCCTGGCCAACATGGTGAAACTCCCTCCCTTCTAAGAGTATAAAAATTAGCCGGACATGGGGGCAGGGGCCTGTGATCCCAGCTAGTCGGGAGGCTGAGACTGTAAAATCCCTTTAACCCTAGAGGCATGGGTTGCAGTGAGCAAAGATCGCGCCACTGCACTCCAGCCTAGGCGACAGCGACAGTACTTGCAGCCTGGTCAACGAGTGAGACCCTGTCTCAAAAAAAAAAAAAAAAAAAAAAAAAAGGAAAATGAGGATAAAATAAATTCTTTACCTTGGCCCCCAGAAGTGAATTCAGAATTCAGAAAAGACTAGCCAGAGTAAGGCCGCCATAACCCTAGTTGACAGAGAGGAGGGATTGGGGTGGCGAGTGGGAAGGCTGTGTCTCTGGAAGAAGAAATATACGTCCCCACCTCAGTCTGATTAAACCTGCTTTTCCAGCGCGATCAATATTCAAGATAACTTTTGGTTTGCCTTTCAAGAAAGAAGTCTTGCACCACTATCCTCAGTTTAAAAAAAAATGTTTAATGTTTGCTCTACGTTTGAAATGCATGCAAGTTTAAAAGACGAGAAGAGACAAAAGGATGAAAAAGTGTGACCGGCCCGACAGTTCAGAGCCTCTGGAAGTGTCAAGGGATCCACAGTGCAGGTAGGATGAAGAGTCTGAGAGGGGAGGTGGGATCCTCCGAAAAGAGAAAGTCTGGTCTTGGAGCGCGACGATGCAGATGCCACTTCCCTCCCATCCCGTCCCATCAGAGGCCTCCACTCCCTGCCCCTCCGCACCCCCTGACCCAGACACGCGCAGCGGGGAGCAGCCCAGCCCAGGCCGTCTCACTGCTTTGGTTTTGAAAGGTTACATATTTATTTTAGAATTTCAGCACCTTCTAACGTACTGTTTTAAGTATCTTTAACCAGCTTATCGGCCTAAAACCGAAACGGTCCTACCCGCGACTACCACTGCTCCAGTGACAATGCTCTGCTGCTACTTATTTAACGGGGCCCAAGGCTTACAATTCTCGAAAGAATGTTGTTCCCCTTCCCTTTCCCTTCCCGCCTCTGTACTTGACTCTGGTTAAGTATGAAATCAGAAAAGTGCAGAAAACATGGGCAGCTTCCTAGCAATGGTTCGGGGCAAACAAGACGGGTGAAGAAGGGCTGGAGCTCCCCCGGGCCCCTCGCTCCGGCCTCGGGAGGGCATCGCGGCCGCAGCAGGGCGTCCCGAAAACCGTCGCCTCCTTGCCCGCCGCCCGAGAAGGTGAAAGGCACGAGATGGAACCTCTCCAGCCCTCCCCAGGAACGCAACCTGACGGCGCGACAGAGCGGCAGGGAGGCCTCTCTGGGCTGCTTGCGGGTCGCCGCGGCGCCACGGTCACGGTCGGCCCGAAGGGAAGCGGGCAGGGGCAAGAAGGGGCGGCGGGGGTTCCGCGGGCCCGAGTCTGCAGGCCGGCGCCGAGCGCAGGGAAAACCTGGCTGGGCGGCGCCACAGCCCCCCGAAGGCCGGGTCGGGCCCGACTAGGGCGCCTCCTTACGCGCGGGCGGCGGGCGCAAACCCCCTAGGGTTGCCTGGCGCCGGAGACCCGCAGACAGGACTCACCCAGCTTCCTCAAACGCTCACGCCGACTTCAGGCGCGCGCGCAGAAAGGACACTGCTGCGCCACAGCCCGGCCGGCGTCCACCGGCTCCACCTCAGCCCCGGGAGCCGGGAGCTGGAGGCCGGCGCGAGGCTAGGGCGCCCGTGAGGCGGGGCGAAGCGCCGTGCGCACCGCAGCGACCAATCGGAGCGCAGCAAGTGGCCGGCCGGGGGCGGGGCGGGACGCGAGGGGGCGGGGAGAGGGCGTTGGCTGGGCGCAGCTGGACGCCGGGCGCTGCTCAGCGACCAATCCGCGTGCAGCAAGTGGCCGGCCGGGGGCAGGGCGAGCTCCGAGCGGTGGGGTGGGGACCGCTGCTCTGCTGGCCTCCCGGAGCCGGGGTCCAGACCCAACTACCTACGGTTCGGGACAGAGTAAGACAGGCGTCTCCTGTCCCCTGCGGGTGGGCGACCGCCGCCGGGTTCCCACTGCTGCGTTTCTGCACGCAGACTTGAAGTGCAGTACCGTGAGGTCACGTGCGGACGGAACTCGAGACTGGGGGACCAGGGTCTCCCTTCGCCTATGGCCGATCAGCCTTGTCTGCGAGCTGCCCAGAGTAGGGAAGGTGCTTCGGGAGTGTTCTCGGGAACGGAGGGTCTTTAGAGATGCCTTTTTCTAATCCCCTGAATTCAGAAATTGAGCCCCAGAAAGTTGAAGTTAGTCAACCAGGGCTACTCAGCGACTGCTGGTTACCCCAGGTGATCCTCACAATACCACTAGTCTTCTGATTTCGTTCGGCGCGTTCCCGTCTATTCACGCAGATTTTTGTCTTTTTTTTTTTTTATGTCTTTCTTATAGTCAGATATCTTTTTTTTTTTTTTTTTTTTTGGTTTTTCTTATAGTCAGGTATCTTTCAGCCTCTTGGATTTTCAACATAACTTTAACAGCCTTTGGAAGCCCCGTCTAAATTTCCTACAGAAATGCGTATAACCATTTAGTTGTTTGGGGAAAAGTTGACCTTTGTTTTTTGGGTGCTTTGTTTGTTTTGAGACAGGGTCTTGCTCTGTTGTCCAGGCTGGAGTGTAGTGTTGTGATCTTGGCTCACTGCACCTTCTTACCTCCCACGTTCAATCGATCCTCCCACTTCAGCCTTCCCAGTAACTGGGATTACAGGTGCACGCCACCATGCTTGGCTAATTTTTGTATTTTTAGTAGAGACGGGATTTCACCAGGCTGATCTCGAACTCCTGACTTCAGTTGATCCACCCGCCTCCGCCTCCCAAAATGCTGGGGTTACAAGCGTGAGCCACTGTGCCCAGCCAAGTAATTATCAATGGAAATCTAAAAAGCATTTTACTTGAGGTATAATGAAGTTAAAGGTTTTGCATCATGGAATTATCACCAAAAATGCCATCCTGGATAATGTTCTCCTATAGCTCTTATACATGGGCTAGGATCTAGGTGTTCAATAAATATGTGCTGAATAAGTTACTTTTGAAATATGTCACAATGCTGGCATTCCACCAGAAGAGAGGATACAGAAGGGAACACTCTCCTCTCTTTAAGAACCTTTTGAAAGGGGCGGGGGTTGCATGTACCATTTTTGTTTTCATTCTGCTACTAAAATAGTCACTTGACTACACCAAATTGCGAAGAAACCTGGAAAATGAGGTTTCAGTACTAAGGAAGGAAAACTAGATATTAGGGGACAATTAGAAGTTTCCAAATCTCATCACTTATTTGGCGGGGGGGGTGGGGGAGGCATCCCAAAGGGCAGACTGGAGCCTGGGCAACAGAGTGAGACTCTGTCTCAAAAAAAAAAAAAGAAAGATATTGGAATTAAGTTGCTGATGTCAACATTTCACTGTCAAGTCTTTAGTAGAATTGTAAATCAGCCTTTAAAATATACCACACATGGCCCGGCGCGGTGGCTCAAGCCTGTAATCCCAGCACTTTGGGAGGCCGAGGGGGCGGATCACAAGGTCAGGCATTCAAGACCAGCCTGGCCAACATGGTGAAACCCCGTCTCTACTAAAAATACAAAAATTAGCCAGGTGTGGTGGCGCTCACCTGTAATCCCAGCTACTCAGGAGGCTGAGGCAGGAGAATTGCTTGAACCCAGGAGTCAGAGGTTGCAGTGAGCTGAGATCACACCACTGCACTCCAGCCTGGACGACAGAGTGAGACTCTGTCTCAAAAAAAACAAAAACAAACAAACAAAAAAACACAATTTTCTGCTTCAGTTCCACCATGTAGCTACTGAAGCATATGTTTTGTTAAATTCCTGTTACCTAAGCACTTCAGAGAGGCTCTCCTAGATTCTGGAGACATTGTGACTTCAGGACCATTTTCAGGTTTGGGCCAGGACAGGTTCTGAAAGATCTACTTCACCTAAAACTGGACAGAAAATGCCGTCCAGTTGGTACAAGTCTATTAAGAGAAAGGAACAATTCAGGCTGTCCTTCACGCTATGCCCCATGGATTCTAGTTTGTTCTCTCTCAGGGCTGCTTCATGAACTTCTGATAGAGTGGTATTCACTTCCATCTTTTGAGTGTACAAGCCAAATGTGTACCATGGGAATTATCTGAAAGGCTAAAACATGTTGCATAAACAGGTACTTCCCAAAATATTCTCTTTCTCCATATGCTTATGTGGTTATAAAGCAAAAAGACTTCATCTGAATAAGTCTTAGGCAGCTATTAGAACTGTTGTATTTTGACAAAGATGTCTTAAGACTAAGGTCATACTTCCTGTGGGTCTGAAATGGACTCTCTCCTGAAAGGATGGCTAGTCAGTGTCAGTCATTTAGGAGAAAAGATAGATCTTTAGATGGAAAACAAAAAACTAAGGCCTGGAAGATAATTTGACTCCAGCAGAAGAGGAAACATTTCTTTCCACATCTAGACCCTGAAGACAGTGGATACATGTGTCAGTTGGTCTCTTTCAGTTATAAGTAACAGAAAAAAAATCTCAAACTGGCTTAAATAATGAGGAGGATTCTGTGGCTCATGGAACTGGAGGATCAGCGTTATCATGGGTGTTATGGTCTGAGTGATTATGTCTCCTCAAAACTCTTACATTGGGGTACTATATTAGTCCATTTTCACACTGCTGTAAAAACATTACCTGAGCTGGGCGCAGTGGCTCACGCCTGTAATCCCAACACTTTGGGAGGATGACAAGGGCGGATCATGACGTCAGGAGTTTGAGACCACCCTGGCCAACATGGTGAAACTGTCTCTACTAACAATAAAAAATTGGCTGGGTGTGGTGGCAGGCACTTGTATAGTCCCAGCTACTCAGGAAGCTGAGGCAGGAGAATCGCTTGAACCTGGGGGACACAGGAGGTTGCAGTGAGCCAATATTGCGCCACTGTACTCCAGCCTGGAAGATTTGTTTTTCGTTTTTTTTTTTTGAGACAGGGTCTTACTCTTGCCCATGCTGGAGTGCAGTGGTGTGATCAGGGCTCACTGCAGCCTTGCCCTCCTGGGCTCAAGCGATCCTCCCACCTCAGGCTCCCAAGTAGCTAGGACTACAGGAATGTGCTACCACACCTGGCTTTTTTTTTTTTTTTTTTTTTTTTTTTGGTAGAGACAGAGTTTCACCATATTTCCTGGGCTGGTCTCAAACTCCTGGGCTCAAGCAATCCTCCTGCCTTGGTCTCTCAAAATGTTGGGATTACAGGCATGAACCACTGTGCCTGGCCAATCAAAAAGATTTTTTAAAAAAATGCATTTAGCATTTAGGGCTGGGTGCGGTGTCTCACGCCTGTAATCCCAGCACTTTGGGAGGCTGAGGTGGGTGGATCACCTGAGGTCAGGACCTCAAGACCAGCCTGACCAACATGGAGAAACCCCATCTCTACTAAAAATACAAAATTAGCCGGGCGTGGTGGCGCATGCCTGTAATCCCAGCTACTTGGGAGGCTGGGGCAGGGGAATCTCTTGAACCCAGGAGGCAGAGGTTGTGGTGAGCCAAGATTGCACCATTGCACTCCAGCCTGGGCAACAAGAGAAAAACTCTGTCACACAAAAAAATTAGGTGCCTAGCCCAAAATATTATTACCATTATAACAAAGGACCATTGAATAATCATTATAATAACTTTATTAACATAGACAACATTTATAAACATAAAGTGCACTGTGCTGAAATTAAAAATTTACTGACATTTTCTGGTAACCTTACCTTCTCATTGACCAGTATGGAAAATGGTTTTGTTCATCTACGTTGCTGTAATGCAGTTAAGCCTCTTACATCTAATTTCTACTTTTTTTTTTTTTTGAGATGGAGAATCTTGCTGTGTCACCCAGGCTGGAGTGCAGTGGCGCGATCTCGGCTCACTGCCAGCTCCACCTCTTGGGTTCACACCATTCTGCTAGCCTCCCCAGCATCTGGGACTACAGGTGCATGCTGCCACACCTGGCTAATTTTTTTTGTATTTTTAGTAGAGACGGGTTCCACTGTGTTAGCCAGGATGGTCTTGAGCTCCTGACCTCATGATCTGCCCGCCTCAGCCTCCCAAACTGCTGGGATTACAGGCATGAGCTACTGCGCCCGGCCTCTAATTCCCACTTTTAACAAAAGTCACAAAACTACTGCCTTCTAAAATGTTTTTGGAACTATAGCTCTTCTTAAGCAACATTCCATACTGTTCACAATTTTATTTACAGTGATGCTATCATTGTAGAAGTCAAAGGACAACTCATTCAATAAAATAATCACATATTATATCAATTAATGCTGCAGCATCTAAGCTAAAGGCCCAAAATTTCTTTCTTTTTTTTTTTTTGGTTGAGACAGAGTCTTGCTTTGTTGCCCAGGCTGGAGTGCAGTGGCCGGATCTCAGCTCACTGCAAGCTCCGCCTCGCGAGTTCACACCATTCTCCTGCCTCAGCCTCCCGAGCAGCTGGGACTACAGGCGCCCGCCACCTCACCCGGCTAGTTTTTTGTATTTTTTAGTAGAGACGGGGTTTCACCGTGTTAGCCAGGATGGTCTCAATCTCCTGACCTCATGATATGCCCGCCTGGGCCTCCCAAAGTGCTGGGATTACAGGCGTGAGACACCGCGCCCGGCCCTTTGAAGGTGTAGTTTTGTTTGTTGTTTTAACTATCACACATTGTACAAAATAACACGTGCTTCCAAAATGCAGGTGGTGAGTACCTAACTTCTGAACCACTTCTGTAACTCAGGA